TTCATTGGAAGGACTGATGCTGAAGCTGAAACTCCAATACTTTGGCCATCTCATGTGAAGAGTTGACTCATTGGAAAAGACCCTGATGCTGGGAGGGATTGGGGGCAGGAGGAGGAAGGGACGACAGAGGATGAGATGGCTGGATGGCATCACCGACTCAATGGCCATGAGTTAGAGTAAACTGCAGGAGTTGGTGATGGACAGGGAGGCCTGGCGTGCTGCAATTCATGGGGTCGCAAAGAGTGGGACACAACTGAGCAACTGAACTGAACTGAATAGGATTTATTCCAGGACTGTCAAGATGGCTCAATATCCATAAATACACAGCATTAACAAGAGGAAGAATAAAAATTACATGATCAATTCAGCAGACAAAATTCAACATCCATTCATGAAAAAAACTGTCATCAAAGCTGGTTTAGGAGGAACATTTCTTAATGTAATAAAGACCATTTATGACAAACTCATAGCTAACATCATACTCAACAGTGAAAAGCTGAGTTTCCTGAAAAAAATCAGGAACAATACAGATGTTCAGTCTTGCCACCTCTAACATATATTGGATCCTACCCACAGCAATCAAACAAGAAAAAGAAATAAAATGACATCCAATTTGGAAGGAAGGAAGTAAAACTGTCACTATTTACAGATAACATGATATTATATCTAGAAAACTTTAAAGTTTCCACTAAAAAACTATAGAATACATGAATTCAGTAAACGTACCACTACAAGATCATAACACAGAAATTGATGCTTTCCTATTCACTAATAATGAACCATCAGAAAGAGAAAGCAATGAGAGTCCCTGGCTGCCTCACGGCTAGGATTTGGGGCTTTCACGGTGATGGCACAGCTTCCATCTGTGGTCGGGGAGCTAATGATACAAAAAAAAAAAAAATGGAAAGACACTCCATGTTCACAGATTGGAAGAATTAATACTGTTTAAATGCCCATACTACCCAAAATAATCTGTAGATTCAAGGTAATCCCCATCAAAATATACATGATACACAGAAT